TGTTTATGGTAATAGTGAAAACAAACACTTATTTGTTATCTTTGTAACTTTTATTAAGTGCGTTGATGCAAAGCCGGGCAAGATTATCAACGAAACGAAATCCGGGCTTGCGCACACGTTTATACCAAAATATCGATATAGGTACCTTTATTGGGCATTATCCAGAAGTGACCGCGTAGTAAATTGTCTATTAAAATAGATTAGCGGTTATTTGAGCCATCAACAGTTCGCTTTAAAGAAAGTTTTAACGTTTTTGGCGCCCCCCTTCCATCGCGGGGTATTTAAAGACTATTTTGGCATTATAATCTAWAACTTACGAATAGAGAATTACACAAAATAATCATAGGGTTTGTTCTATGGTAATATTTACCATATTTATTATTTTTTATAATTGTATTATAAAATTTGATGAAGTACCTATAGTATTATGAACTTGTTCAAAGAAATTGAATTTTTTTGGTGACACCTTTAATAAAAATGCCCCTCCACCATCCTTTGAAAATAGCTTCTGCAGTKATAAATCATGAAAATGATCTTTGTTTGGCGTTAAAGTGTTGAAATGTATCATTCTTGGGTTAGATATGTAAGGAAACTAAGAAAGAATACGTACGTACGTACCTACCTAATATTTTCAAAAAAAAGTTCAAGACTGTGTATCAAATTTCACCTAGCTAGAAAATTACGTTATGCTCGTGTAATGGCGCAAAATATGAATGCATCTCAAATGTTCCCAATTGAGAGTAAGCCGACAAATTCTGATTTTGCGGACAAAATATCATGCTTATGTATTATACCTTCGACAACAGCGGCGGCCATGGCGCCTTTGGAACTGAAGTCAGGTGACGGGAACGCTTGCCGTCCCGCTTGGACGATTTCCTGTGAAGACCGCATGACAGTTTGATTCGACGRTTTATTAGAATAAGAAAAAATGTATATAATATAATATTAAACTCGCGGACGAGGCGGCGGCGGTTGTTGGGCGGACTGCGTGACACACACACACACACTGGCGGCGACGACGATCGGATCGTCGATCTTGTAGAGCCGCGTGTGTCGAAATACGGCGGAAATCGCTGACCCAAATAATCCTAATGTCAATGCCAATATTGTGACAACAAACAAAAAAAATTAGCTAAATACGAGTAAGGTACAGTAATAGACAATCACTGGCACYGACTTAGCGGGCGGCGGCGGCTGTTTCGCAAACACGCCTAGCGATGTGTAGGTATTATTATTAGCTCTGTGGCGGCGAGGCGGTCTGTCATAACCTCYGATGTGTTGGCCACTCGGTACACTTGTACACTTGCCAATATGCTATTGAAAATGCGTGTGGGGTAGGTGGCACTTAGCATTTTTATAGCCTCGTCCACAGTGATGGATTAAAATCAAAAACTCGCATACTTCTGGCTTTAAGAATGGCACTTTCCCGATGAGCCATTTRGCCGTTTCAAAAAATTGTATTTAACGAGTATTTTTTGATACCAAAACACTTCGAGTTTCTCGGTAATTTTCCGAATGACGAGTGATAACTTGTTGGTACATAATTTTTATAAAATTCTTTAATTATTTTTATTTTT